ACTTTTAAATTATCCAAAATTAACCCTTATATTTTCTAAATGAGTAGTATTGATACTACCTTGCAGAATGCATTGATTTTGTCTCTATCATCTGCACAAAAAAACATTGTTTCATACGAGAAATACCCTTAAATTCACCCCTAAACACTTGTTTTGAGGTCTATATTGATTATTAAAGCTTATGAAAGTTATTAGGGATCAAAACACATCATTTTTACACAATTATAACGTCTAAATCATATAAACCCATTTTCAAGCAACCAAACCCCCACATGTTTTTTCACCTCATACAAATAAACAACATTTCATATTATGCATTATAAGTAGTAAAAATGAGTTATAAGATATTACCTCTACTTCTAAGAAACCCAAAACCTCCCTAACTCTTCTTAGGACTAAATCGTTTTTGTTCTTGCTCCTGGAGGGTTCTTGCACCACTCTTTCTCTAACCCAAAACGTCCAAGAAGTTTCTAGCATCAAAATAAATGTTATTACTTGCTAAAAAACATCTAAGCTATAAAAAATTTGGATGGAAATATTTGAGGAATCTCTTGGATCTTATGACCTATAAATCATTAATCTCACCTTGGAAATTTTGAAATAATGTAGAGAAAGAAGAAAAGCTAAAGCTTTGTTCATGATCTAGCTTGAATAAGATGAGAGAGAAAGAAGTAAATGAAGAGTTATGAAAAAGAAGGCATTGGGAAGAGAATAAGGAAAAAGGTTTCTACACCTTACCTCAAAAAGTCGCATCCCGTCAGCAAGAAACTCCTAATAATCAGTCATAATTTTCCTCAATGGGAGAATCTCACTCTAGGTCCTTGCCATCTCAATTCAAGTTTTTTTATCTCCAATTAGATCAATTCAATAACTGATTGAGCCCAAATTTGAACCATGAAAGCTCTACACTATAATTAATCTATTCAAATAACTATGGGATAATACTCCATGGGAGAATCACACTCTACGTCCCTGCCATCTCAATTCAAGTTTTTTTTATCTCTAATTATATCAATTCAATAACTTATTGAGCCCAAATTTGAACCATGAAACCTCCACACTATAATTAATCTATTCAAATATATATGGGTCAATGCTCAAACGTTGACTCCAAAATTTAGGTCGTTACATCAATTCTCTTTAAATTGTAGATTTGGGCATCCCCATTATGACAACATAGTAGAGGCATCTTCGTTATGTCAACACAATGAAGGATAGTGAGACATACTAGAAGATCATATGATTACACATGGTTAGTAAAATGTTTGTATGTATTATTCATTCAATATTACATGTTATTCCTAAAGGAGGTTTTAATGAGTACCTCAGTTTGGAGCAGTTTGATAGTTTCTTGTGAGGGAGATTCCTATCAAAAATAGGTTAGTTCATAATCATTGTTACATGTCTACAAGAGAGGGTCGTCAATGCTCGTAAGCCATTAGGAGGTCATTGTAATAATTATGCATGTTTTTGCACTGTCTTTGTAGACAACATCGTCCAAAGTTTGGCTCAACGTAACATACACGGTGCTTTCTCCATCATGTGGTCGAGTCTCTCAAGTGAATTGGGCTCATTCCCCAACACATGTGAGGGAAGCAATCCTAGTAGGGATGACAGATGGTGTTGCTCGTGTTGTTCCCTTTTCGTTTTCTTTCTTTTCATTATATGCCTTCTCTGGTTTCTTTACCATAGAGCGATAAGAGGGGACAAGTTTATTTTGGTAGGTTTTGGGAGAGAGGGAAAGGAGGTGAGGATGATTTTTTTTTTTTTTTTGCTTTTTTAGGGAGATGTGGATGATGTTTTTGTTTTTTAGTGAGATATTGACTAGTTTCGTCAACCATAAGGTTTGTACATGTTTACTACACTAATTATTTATGGGAATAAATTTGTCTCGTTGATCATTGGAGGTTCACCTTTTCTGATTTGGATGGAGAGTTGAGACCAATGAGAAAACAACCATTGGTTGATGTTTTGGTGTTGAAGAGAGCTGGTCATGGAGGATGAAGAAGACGATATAAGGGTTGTGAGAGTTTCAATCCCTTTTTCAGTCTTGGTTGAGGATATTTATAGTCAAATTTAGTGAGTGTGTCATTCGTTGGGTCATCATGGCTATTTATAGATTAACGAGTTAGACAAATCTGGTTGTCATAACTTAGATTATGTTATGTAAATCATGTAAACCTATAAGAAGTCTTTTCTATGTACTGTAGATGACTAAGAATCCCATGTCTTGAGAATGTAGTTTCGTTGAAGGCTTTAGTTGGGGGAGAGTTGACAACTCCTATAGGTTCTGTTTGGTGTAGACTAAGGGTATGTTTGTTTCACGTAAAATATTTTTCAGAAAACATTTTCCTTATTTTCTAGTGTTTGGTTGACAGAAAATAGGTTGGTCAATGTAATTCATTTTCCTAGTCAACATAATTTCTTTGCATTTTCTAGAAAAAGACTTATGATCTTATTTTTCGTAAGTCATTTTCCGAATTTTCACTTTAAAGCATAATATAATAATTTTATTTTAATATTATAATAATAATATACTTATTTTAATAAATAATTAATATATTTTATAATATTTTTATTTCAATAAAATATATTATTCTTAATATTTTATTTATAAAGTGTAAAAATTAATATTTTAATAATAAGTAGAAATTAATATTTTAATAATAACAATGACATAAATAATATTGAATAAATTATTCTAATATTTTAAAAATAATAATATTAAGTTAATAAATAATATTATTTATTTTGTATACAATATTTACAATAAACAGTTTTCAGAAAATTTATTAATTACTGGAAAATAGTTTACAGAATATATTCCAAATACTGAAAAATGATTTTTAGAAAATATATTTCATTTTATAAAAAAAAATTAATGAAACAAATACAACCTAATTTTTTTTCAAAAATAATCTCCGAAAGCATAGCAGATTGAATTCGTTTTTTATCCCATCTCGTAATTATACAAACAATTATTAGTTTTTTCATGTGAACAGTGAACTCCCCTTCAAGTTCGAGTTTCTTAACCATGTGACTTAAAAAGAAACTCAACCATGTGTGAGGGTCATATGTAGCTTTCTATATATACTATTAGTAGCGTCATAGTAGGAAGCATGGATGTAGCCACCTCATTAAATGGGGATCTAAACCGACATCTAAAAAATCAATTTATTTTTTTATAAATTATATATATAATATTAAAAAATTAATGTTATTTAATTTTTTAATAGTTTAATATGATTACAATATAATATATGTTCATAATCTTTTTTAATCATTGTCAACATACACACTCTATCTACAAAGTTGTTTAAACTCAAAACTTTAAAGAAGAACAACACTCCCTTTAATTACTGACATCGTTTAATATATTAAAATTGATGTTATTTAAAAATTTTAGCATCACTTTGAATTTAATTAATATCTTTTGAAATAATTTGATACTTATAATTTAATTTTTATCCATTTAAAAATATTTGTAATAATTAGGCTTAAATATAAAATAAGTACCCAAACTATATCGCTTTTCACGAATAGTTGCTTACAGTATTTTTTGAATCATCTAGGTGTCTAACGTTACAAACATTATCATTTAGATGCCCGGCCGTAATTGTCGTTAGTTTTCTTCGTTAAGTGACACGTGTCATATTCTGGTAATTTTGATTTTTTTTTCAAATTAAAAATATTATTTTATTTTAAAAAACTATAATTTTCTTAAATTATAAAAAAAACCCAAATTTATAAAAATTCAAAATCCTAGTCATACGTCGTCGTAGATGTTGTCGATTGACCGTCGGAATTGTATGAGATTGCGATTTTCATCCTAGGGTTTGAGGGTACAAAATGTCGATTGGTCGTCGATCGATCATAATTTCACAGGAGTAGGGAACGATGGGGGTAGATGAGATCGAGTGGAATTTCGTCGACGGCAAAGGGCGATAGCTGATGTGGGATTTAGAGTTTGAAATGAAGATTTTTAAAGTTTGGGGGCTAGTTCAAAATTTTTGTGTTTGTTTTTTAAAAATATATAATTTTAATTTTTTTAATTTTAAATAAAAAAATTAAAATTACCATAGTGTAACACGTGTTACTTAATAAAAAAAATTAATAACGTTTACGGTCAGATACTTAAAATGATAACATTTATAATATTAAATATCAGAATCCTTAAAAAAAATTGTAGATACCTATTATTGAAAAACATCACTAATTTTATATTTAAGCCAAACGATTATAATCCTGTCCGTTTATAATATCCAAGTAATTCATATGACATAGGGTGTAAGAATATGAGAGACTGAGATCACTAGCCGAAAGAGGACAACCGCCCAAAACATTATAGCAAAAAGATCGAACTAAGGACCATAACCGGCACTCTACATATGTATAAATTAAGGGTAAATTACAAAATTTAATCACTCAAAATTGACCTCATTCTTGTCTCGGTTACTAAAGTTTATAAATTTTCAATGTAATTATTAAACCTTTAATTCATTTTTATTTTAATCATTTGAACGTTAAATCAAAAATGAAAAAAATGACATAACATTCATATGTGTTAAAATCATTATTCTCCTGTGTTTTTTCCAACCACTAAAGACTTTAACAAACTCATTTCATCATCTTCTATCAATTTTTATCAGTTTAGATTTTTTTAAAATCATATAAGAACTTGCAAAACTCAACTCATGAAACTCTAAACTGCTCTAATATATAATATGTATCTTCTAATCAATATAAAATCAAGACATTCACCTCGTCATTAGAATTTAAAAAGATATATTTTATCGTCGAGAAATTAAAGATAATATGAAATTAATTTTTTTTAAAGTTCATTTTATAAATTTTAAAAATGTGTCAAGTATCTTAAATTTTAAATTTTAGTGATTAAAATAGAAGTAATGTAAAACTTAGGCGTTGTAACTTATAATTTATCAACAAATTAAATATATACATGTTCATTTTTTTGGAAAAAAATGTTCAAGCGAAGTTGAGATTTGAGAGGTAATCCTATATGAATATTTGTTGAGTAAGAAAGTTCCCATCTTTGGCTCTGTCTTTGCTTCGTCTCCAAGAGCAACCCAAGCTTTGTGTTCTTGCCCCACTTTTACCTTCTCATCTCATTCTGCAAGTCTGAACCAGGTCTTCTTTCTCACTCTCTCTTTGTAAGGAGTTTATTTTTGGATTTCTTTTCTGGGTTTTAGTGCCATCGAACTGATTTATAACGTAGATTCTTTTCTGGGTTTTGGTTGTTCGGTTTCAATCTTATGCAAATCCTTAGCTTTGTTCATAGTTTAAGCTTGATCTGAGTTATTGAATTGTCTGTGAAGTGAAAACCGTGTAGAATCGTGAAGGTTTTTTGATACATGGTGCAAATGAAAACACTAACCAAACAAATAGTTTAAAAAGTTGATGGATTTGTTTGTAAAGTGCTGTCTTTTAACAGTTTGATAACAAAAACTTTTTTCCTGTGTTTCCTTTGCTGATCAGTTTGATGTTTTAAGTTCATTAGTGTTGGGGTTTTTGATATTTTTGACACGATCTTTCAAATTTTGAATCAGGGAATCCGGTCTGGGCAGTCAATGACTGCAATTGAGCTGTTTTGTTTAATGATCTTATAGAGGGTGATATATCAAAGCTGTCTTTGTTGAGATGATTCTTTCAGCTCTTTTAACTTCTGTTGGAATCAATCTTGGTCTTTGCTTCTTGTTTTTCACTCTATACTCGATATTGAGGAACCAGCCGGGTAACATCACAGTATATTCGCCTCGTTTATTTGGTGAAAGAAAAACTGAGCAGGAGGACGAGTTCAACTTGGAAAGATTGCTGCCATCGCCTGGTTGGTTGAAAAGGGCGTGGCAACCATCTGAAGATGAACTATTGTCAATTACAGGCCTGGATGCTGTCGTGCTTATGCGGATATTTGTTTTCTGGTAATTGTGATTTCTTATGATGTTTCTTTAGTAGCTAAAATAGGAACATAACCTGCAGGCTCCAGCTCTCAAACCTTTTTCTTTTATGGTAGAGATTCTTTGTGTTTATCTAGTCAATCTTTACTTTACTGTCTGCAATTATGTTGCTTCAACTCATCATTTTCTTGAAGTACACATGTTTGACATCCGTGTCTAACACATATCTGGACATAGGTATAGGACATGACCCTACCCCACCCTCCTCTCAAAATTCATGAAAAAACTTAGAAAAAAATTGAACATGCTCATGTGGGATATACATACCAGTACCCAACATTAACACTCAAATTTGAGTAACATAGATCTTCAAGGCCAGTATTCCAAATACCTTACCTTTGGCTAAGCAGAAAAGTTCAATATAAGTTGTAGTAAGACCATTTTTGACACAGTGCTTCAATTTCAAAATTGGATTCTTTTTTTAACTATATTTTTCCTGGAAAAAGTTAACCTTTTCTGAGAGGATGAACTTGATATGTCTACGGCATATAAAAGCATATTTTTTATTGTTACATTTCATATGGATCTATCTTTCTGCATGTCATCTTAAACTAATTTGGGGTTTTTATTTTAATGCAGTGTGAAAGTGTTTATCATTGCCTGTGTCATTGGAATCTTTATTCTTCTGCCAGTTAACTTTGGGGGGAGTCAGTTAACATACGATTTTTCTAATTTGCCGAACAAAACTCTGGAGTCCTTCAGTATTTCAAATGTGAATGATGGTTCAAACAGGTAATTCTTGCGTAGTTGGTTAACATATTTTCAGTTTCTGATGCTAAAACAACTCAATTATTGTTGTACCAAAGTTAAAATAACGGCCAAGACACGAATAAAATCATCCTTTCTTTTCATGTGTTATTGATTGCTAAGATTTCTGTGTAAGTTCATGATTGAGCTTTCCCGATTGCCTCCCTAGTGGTTTCTCCTTTTCAGCTGTTTATGTCATTTTAAATAGTAGTTCCTTCAAAAGTCCATGATTGAGAATTGTTAGATTTTGTGAATGTATAAAATTCATTATTTCATAACAGGCATTTGGATTCATAATGTAGAGGAAATGCTGACTATAAGTTTTTTCCATTTTCAAGGTTATGGATTCACTTTTGCGCTGCCTATGTTTTCACCGTAGTTGTCTGCTGTCTTCTGTATTACGTAAGTGATACTTTATGTATATTTATCTGCTCTTGCCAACAAGGTTGTTGTTTCATATAAAAATCGACTGAAGCTTTAATTTTGGTGATACGGAAATCTGCAGGAGTATAACTATATTTCATCGAAAAGAATTGCCTATTTTTATTCTTCCAAACCTCAGTCACATCAGTTCACAATATTAGTTCGCGGTATACCTGCTCCATCCGGTAGCAGCTTCAGTGAAGTTGTTGACAACTTTTTCATGGAGTATCATCCTTCAACTTATCTTTCACATACAATAGTTCGCCGAACAAGCAAGATTCAAAGTCTTATGGTAAACTTCAGCGTTAATATTTGAGTGATTCAGTCATCCTCAGGCCATTCACTTTATTCCATAAACAAATTTTTTTTCTAGGAAAACACTGCAATTTGGTTAATAATTGGTTGTTTGGAAAACATTGAACTGCGACTTCTCAAAGCTAATGGACCAATGTCCTATAGGGAGTTTAGGACAAAAATAATGTTGGTGTAGATATACTATTGAAGTATGATTTTCGAAACTGAATTTATCCCTTTTCTCCCTTTTGGTTTTGCTGTTCTCTATCCGGGTTTTGACAGTTCCATGTTGGTACATGTAGAATGACGCAGAAAAGCTATATAAAACACTTGGTCGCTTAAAATCGAAAAGCACTCAGCAAAGGCAAAAGCGTGAAGGATTTTTGGGACTCTTTGGTCGAAAAGTTGATATTGTTGATCACTATGAGAAGAAGTTGGAAGATATAGAAGATAATGTGAGACTCAAGCAATCATCATTGGCAGGAGAGGTTTGTGATGTTCTTGATCTATATATTCGTCTTAGTCAAACAAACACCAAAAATGATGCCTACTGGGTGCAAATTATAATTTATTGATTTTGGCGGTTGTGAATGTGGAAATCTGTGATCCGTCTCTATTTCATACTTTATGCACTGATCTTTATGCCTTTAAAAATTGCTAGGAAGTTCCCGCTGCTTTCGTGTCATTTAAGTCGAGGTTTGGTGCTGCAATAGCTTTGCACATCCAACAAGGGATTAATCCCACGGAGTGGGTTACTGAACAAGCTCCCGAGCCTAAAGACGTTTACTGGCCTTTCTTTTCTGCATCATTTATGAAAAGATGGATCTTCAAGATTGTGGTCGTTGTTGCATTTATTGCTGTTACGATTCTATTTCTTATTCCGGTTGTAGTCGTGCAAGGTCTCACTCATCTCGATCAGCTGGAGACCTGGCTCCCCTTTCTAAAAGGTGTACTGAGCTTGTAAGTGCACACTCTTTCTCATTGCATATGAAATGCAATATCATTTCAATGCTTTTGAAATAAAAAGCAGACAATTGATTTTTCAAGTTCTCTTGGCATATTAGAAAATGCTTTTGAATGTAGATTGTCGATTCACAATATACTAACGGACTGTGATTCTTAAATTGCAGGAGTTTTGTCAGTAATTTGATTACAGGATATCTACCAAGTCTCATTCTTCAATCGTTCCTATCCATTGTGCCACCGATTATGATACTTTTTTCTTCCATGCAAGGATATATTTCCAACAGTCAGATCGAGAAAAGTGCATGCATCAAATTGTTATGGTTCACTGTGTGGAACATTTTCTTTGCAAATGTATTATCAGGATCCGCTCTCTCTATGGTTGATATCTTCCTCGAGCCAAAGAAAATTCCAGGCCTGCTAGGTGAACTTGTGCCTGCACAGGTGAAAACAAAAGTCATGAAGTTCATATATATGAGACTTACATTATTTTTTTATTAATTATTAATCTTTATTTTCGGGTCAAATCATTGATATGATTTAGATTCTTTAACTTTCATGTAGGCATCATTCTTCATTGCCTATGTTGTGACGTCCGGATGGACCAGCGTATCTTCAGAACTTCTTCGTCTGTTTCCTCTTCTTTACAGTTTTGTGCAAAGACTATTTGCAGGGAAAGAAGAGGATGACGATGATTTTGAAGTTCCTTCAATCCCTTACCACAGTGAAATTCCCAGGATTCTCTTCTTCCAACTTCTTGGTGTTACTTATTTCTTCCTCGCTCCACTAATTCTGCCCTTTCTCTTTGTTTATTATTGCCTCGGATACATTATCTACCGCAACCAGGTAAGTGAAATGGCCCCTTTTACATCTTACGTCTATGTTTCTCTTACGCGTCATTTTTCTTTGAGTACCTCTGTCTGACAGGCCGATGTTTAATGCCAACCAATAACTAAGTATCTCCGAATTTGTTACTCTATTTCCTTTTTTTTTTCCAGTTCTTGAATGTATATGCACCCAAATTCGAGTCAGGAGGAAAGTTTTGGCCGATTGTGCATGATTCAACAATATTTTCCTTAGTGCTAATGCATGTTATTGCGATCGGAATATTCGGTCTTAAGAAGCTTCCTCTAGCATCCAGTTTAACTATCCCTCTTCCGGTTCTCACACTTATATTCAACGCATACTGCCGGAAGAGGTTCCTGCCCACATTCAAGGCTTACCCTACTGAGGTACGATCATGAACTACATTATCCACTCGATCATTTATATTCTCTAGAACTTAACAAGGATTCATTGTTCTCAATAATGTTCTACTCGTTCTTCATTCTGTTATATAATGAGTTCCGTCGCACCCGAGAACTAGGCTTGTTTGACATACTCATCAACTCATTTGATTACGGATTTTAGATGTGTATCTATTATTTGGTTCTTTTTCGTCATCGTATTAGTCCTGGTTGTGTTGACCTGCATATTACTTGTTTTACAGTGTTTGATAAAGAAAGATAGAAAAGACCTGGAAGATCCAACCATGACCGAATTTCTCGAAAAATTAGCGACTGCATATCAGGATCCAGCTACGATGCCAGTCCGATATTCCAGAAGCGACGATGGGCGCAGCTCTCCCCTTTTGCAATGTTGAAGTATAAATTCGGTAGTATATTTTCTCTTTTGTGGTGATTCAATATTGAACTGCCTGAACTTCAACAGTATGCGAACACGTTAAGTTTGTTATGCTTATGAAACTACATTTCTTGATTCCTTTGGGTCTCTATGTTTCAGTTCAGTAATTTGTATGTTGTTTCCATATACAAACTGATGAATGCTGAATTCAGATGAGGAGTATGAGATGTTTGGAATACTGCAGTAGGATATGAATATGATTCCAGCGGTGACGAACTTGGTGATAGAGTTTAAAACTTAAAAAAAAAATTAGAGGTTTGTATTAAAATTTTCAAAAATTTTGAATGGCTTACATTTAAAAAAAATAGGGTATAACTAAATTTTTGAAATTGACAGGTTTAATGAAATTTTTAAAAATTATGAGAAGGATTTAATTAAGAATATTCAAAAAACAAAGACTAATATGAATTTCTAAAATTTTATGGGGACAAATGAAATATTTTAAAAATTTTAAGGTCTATAAAAAATGTGATTATATTTATGTTTGACTATATTAGTAATCATATCTGATATTGTATTCCGTATATATTCAAACATACTTTAAATTCTCTAAATATAGGAGAAACTTCATAAAGTAAAGATGGGAAGGCAAAAGATAACTCTGATTTCAGGTCAGAGTGATGCAACTGGATGATACGGGTGAAGAAGAAGATATAATGGACTGCATACACGTTCTACCGACGGAATGAGTCCGGATTATCTTAATTTAGATTTGAGAAAATAACCTCAGTGACCAAAAATGACTTATAATATATGATTTTAACCAATTTTTTTTGGATTTATCAAAATGACTAACTAAATCGCAATGCGATCGATAATTCGCAACGCGATCTCCGGTATCGCAAATCAGTTTCCAATTCGCAACGCGAACATCGACTATCGCAATGCGATTTTCCAAATTCGTTTCGATAGTCCAAGTTCGCGTTGCGATAGTCCAAGTTCGTTGCGATAGTCGAAGTTCGCGTTGCGATTTATTCCAAGTTCGTTGCGATAGTCGACGTTCGCGTTGCGATTTATTCCAAGTTCGTTGCGATAGTCGAAGTTCGCGTTGCGATTTATTCCAAGTTCGTTGCGATAGTCCAAAATCGCAATGACTGGTGGTATTGCATTTGTTTCTTAAGAATTTTCTCTAAAAAAATAGTATTCGCGTGGTCGTGTCGAAGACACGTATTACCACGACCACGACACGAGAAGAGACGAAACGGACCATTTTGACATATGTAAATCGCAATGCGATAGTCGAAGTTCGCGTTGCGAATCTGGAAACTGATTTGTGATACCGGAGATCGCGTTGCGAATTATCGATCACATTGCGATTTAGTTGGTCATTTTGGCAAATCCAAAAAAAGTTGGTTAAAATCGTATATTATAATGCATTTTTGGTCACTGATGTTATTTTCTCTTTAGATTTTGACATCATTTGCGCTTTTATCTTTTTCTTTGATTGCCTCTCGGTTCTCCATTTTTCGCCTAACTGATTCAGATCGATTTGAATCGTATATCTGATTTTGATAGGCAAATTTTTCAACGGAATTTTTCAACTGACACCATCTTACCTGATCGGGTTGGGGAGTCGGTTACGGTCAATGAAAGATTAACACCCTTGAATCGTCCTTTCGGTACCAATTAATTTGTCCATTGTCTTTAATTGCAAAAATTAAAAATTTAAATTGAAAGTTAAAACCGATTCAAATTACTTACATTTGATTAGTTGAAATTCTTCTAAAAAATAGTCAAAAATATTAAGAAAATAAATAAATAAATAAAATAATAAAATAATAAATCAAGGAAAAAAAGAGAAAATAAATTAAAAAAGTCAAAAGGAAAAAAAGAATTGAATAAAAATTAAAGAGATGGAAAATGAAAAAATAAGGAAAAAAAGAATAAGTCAAAAGAAAAATAAATAAAAAAACAATAATTTAATAATAATAATAAAATAAATAAATAAATAAATAGAGATAAATAAAAATTAAAAAAATAATAATAGTGAAAAAAAACCAAAATAAAAAGAGTGAAAAAGAAAAGGGTTAAATATTGAAAAATAAAAAATGAAAAAATGTTATGAAAATAAATCTTAACAAAAAAATAATAATAAATAAAAAAGGATCAAAATGCAAAAAATAATAAATTCGAAACCCGAATTAAAACATTGAAAATTAAATTCAATAGTTAAAATATAAAAGATACAACTTACAGGGACAGCGGGTGTAATTTGCCCGCAAACGAAAAATGCAGAACCCTCCACTTCAAAACGACGTCGCATGGAGGGTATTTATACCCACAAAACTGGCCTTCCAAGGCCATCTACCCTCATTTTCTCAAATTCTCTCTCTCTCCCTTCTCCTACAAATTCCCACCGGTGGGAAACCTGGCTACAGGGCCGTCGCCGCCGATCGTTGCTCTGGCCGCCGAAAAAATCAAACTCAACCACAAGACTCCTCTTTATCCCTTAAACCCAGTTTCGAAGCCAAAATTTTACAAAAGAGCCCCAGCAAGAGTAGATCTACGCCCAAAGTCTTGGTCTTTTACCTTTGTTTCACAGTGAGCTTTTTGGCTTTCGATGGCTCTTTGGTTTTGAGGCTTGACTCCTCTCATTTTCGAACGGGATGGTATTTATTTATTATTATTTTTTGCTATGGTGCTTCGGCCTTTGGGTTTTTTTTTGTTCTGTTGTTGCGTTTTTTGGTACCCTCATTGTTTGGTTCGATCTTGTTGTATTTGGGTTCTCTGTCGTGTATCGGGTTGTGGCTCTCGATGATAGATCTCGATGTACTGTGTCCCACTCACCATGGCTTTGTAGGGTATTTATAGGTCTTCATTGGTCGCTGTGGTCTCGAAAATAACGGGATATATGGGTTGTTGGTTGACCGATTAAAACGGGATGGGTCAGTCCGATTTAACTGATTGCATGTCCGATTGCTTCGTGGTTGTTGTTGTTGAAAACAGGAGGTTGTTTCCTCTCGAAATAGCCGATTTAGAACCGACGCATGGCCTCACGCGCTTGATGATAATTCCTTGCGGCGCCTTGCTAACATGTGAAAACCCTACTTTCCCTTGGGCTGATTCAAACCCACCCAATTGGACTCTTATTGGACCGTTTGGACCATAACCTTGGACCTGGACCGAATTTTAAAAAAAGAAAATAAAAAGAATTAATAAAATAAATAAATAAAATAATAATAATATATATATTTCAAAAAACATCTTTAAACTATATATTATATTTTTAAAAATAAGTTTTCAAAACTATATATCATATAGTTTTCAAAAATGATTTAAAAAATATTATATAAGTTTTCAAAAAATATTTTTTAAAACTATATATTACATAATTTTTCAAAAATATTTTTAAAATTATATATTATATAAGTTTTTCAGAATGTTTTAAAAAAACTATATATTATATATATTTTCAAAATGATTTCTAAACTATATATTATCTAAGTTTTTAAAATGTTTTAAAAACCATATATTATATATTTTCAAAATGTTTTTTTAAATATATATTATATATTTAAAAAAATCGTTTTCAAAACTATATATTATGTGATTTCAAAAACATTTACAAACTATATATATATATATATATATATATAAATCGGACAAAAAATGAGTGTCTACATTATCATTTATAATTTTTCCTCTTTAATAAAAGCTCTTTTTCTATTTCAATTATTTCTTATCATTTCATATCTTCGTACACGAAGATCTTGTAATATTTAACAACATAAATTCATCTTTAAAACGAAACTATAAATCCTAAACCATTACTTTCTAACACTACAGTGTATTTGAATACCCCTTCCTTAAAAAAGTTTTAAAACAAAAATTCTAAACAACTATTCAAAAACTTTAACTTAAAACCACTAAAATCCTAAACGGATGACATAAATTAAAAATTGAAAATGATAAAATCTAATATATATATATATATATATATATATATATTGTTATTATCCTTTGAAGTAATGAGTTCGAGTATCATATATGTAGAGGTATAAACGTTTGTTATTAAAATGGTTAAGAGTCTTTAAATAAATATTACTTTGTATTCACTTAAGTTTTATAAAAAAGTAAAATAAAAGTTTAATACACTTTTTGGTGCTTAAATTATATCTCAAAATATGATTTGGTGCCTAAATAACTTTTCACTAAAAATATTGTCTAATTTTTCTAATGTTACAATTTTAGGTGTTTGGACAGTAACGACTGTTAAATTTTATCGTTATCTGACACGAGTCAAACATATAAAATTTTAAAATTTATTTTATTTCAAAAACTTAATATTATAATTTAGGGAAAAAAACTCTCAAATTTTACCTCTTCTGTTGTAGATCAGTCACCGTCGGTATGTGGTCTTCACCGTTAAAATTATTAGAATCGTTTTATTGTCATAACCGAAACCTAATCCTCCACCCACTATGAAACCACATCGATCGTCGCAAAGGATCATCGGTTTTCTAGATTTTCGTTATTATTTTTGGTGATTTCGACGACTACAATCGTCTGTATATTACACGGCTGCCATTGTTGAGTTTATTGTCTAACTCTAAATAAAACTTGACTGGTGGTCACCTTTCGCCGTTGGAGGTGGAGATGATAGGAGGGAGAGGGATGAATCGGAGTGAGAGAAATAAAGTGTTTGATTTTTTTAAATAATATTTTTATTATTAAAAAATTAAAAATATAATAATAAGCACTTAAAAGTATAATAGAAAAAACGTTAATTATTTAATTTTAGTAAAATATTTTTTAGGTACCAAATTATTTTCGAAATATAATTTAGGTACTAAAAATGTAGTAAGTTTAAAATTAAACAAATTAAATTAGTATACACAGCAAAAACGTGTTTGGTTAAAAAGAAAAATAGAAAGTTGGCTCCAATGCTTCTAGTGGAAGCCCACACTGATTGCAACCGCCTCCATTTCCGTTTCAGCCATCTGATATCAATGACCTGATACTTCCGAAAATATCTAAAATTCCATATTGTAATTCTGAAAAAAAATTAATATCTACAATCTACATAAACAAAATAAAGTTACCTTCAAGATTTACTAATCACAGAACTTGGTGATAAAATTTAAGAAAGTTAAAAATTTAAGAAGTTTAAATGTTTAAATTAATATTTTCAAAAATTTTGAAGGATTTAATTTACAAATTTTTCAAAAAAATATATTTGAAATTTTGAGAGACTTGTGAGAATTTTTTTTTGAAAAAAATCGTGGGATAGATTTAATTAAGATTATTCAAAAAATTTAAAAATTAATATGAATTTCTAAAACTTTTTAGATGTAAATTTAAATATTTAAAAAAAATTAAAATCTCAAATATTTTTTTTAAATTTTTTGAGGTCCATGTCCTCCACTAATCACTAGTATCTTCCGCCACAGTTAATTGGGTCAATAAATTTGTTTTAATTTGAAAAAAAAATTAAATTTTATCAAAATTCAACCTATTAATTTTTTTAATTAAGTTAAGGTAATTATTAAGTAATATCTATTTTAAATACTCTTAATCATTTGACAATAATTCAATAAACATTTAATAACTCTTACAATCTTTGGTGCTTAGACCTATGATTTTTAAGAATAATAACGATTTTTTAACCTGAGATAATTTGATAGGTATAAATTCAACTTTTAAATTTAATGAATAATTAAACTCTTAAAATGAATTATATAAGATATTAGATTTATTTATTGAGAGTGGTTGTCTCACTGTCTAAAAGATTGTAAATGCCGGTCTTGGAGGGCAAGGAGTCAATTCATTGACTTTAAGCTTTTTGTTTCGATGCCTTTCTCCATTTTGCCTAAACCATACGGATAAAAGATGCCAACTTTAACTTTTTTTCTAAATATTTATGAAATAAATTAGTAATATTTTAAAACTTATGTAATTATATCTCTTAAATAAATACAATAAATAATATTAAATTGTGAACTTAAAAATAAAAGGATAAACTACGTATTTAGTCATTATATTGTCACTTTCGTTATGTTTTGATCATACATTTATTTATTTATTTATTTTTAAATTATACCTAAAATTATGTTTTGATTACCCGTTATTAAAATATTAACGATGATATCGATGTGTTATCATAAAGTAATGCTATATCATCATTGAAAAAATAAAAAATTATCACATCAATAATTATATTTATCTTTTAACGGCGGGTGACCAAAATGTAATACTCCTTAGTTATATATATATTTTTAAAAATAATTGAATGATCAAAATAGTATCAAAATAATAGTTAAATTATTAAATACGTAGTTTACCCTAAATAAAAATATAGTAAATTACATGTTTAGCACCTAAACTATCAATTTTAATATGTTTTAGTACCTAAATTTTTAATTTTTCAAAACCATACTTAACATTTAGATTTTCTTTCATTTTAGTACCTCACTGTTAAAAATTTAACGAACTGTTACAACTTGGTATTTTTTATGGGTAAATCACATCATTCATACTCGACTATCTTCTTACTCATATTTTGGTCATTCATCACATCATTAATTTGATTACTTAACTTTCAAATTACTCTTAATTTAATCACTCTAACTTTCAAATTTAATTTTTTTTATTTTAATTATATATTAATAAGATAATAAAGAAATATCATGTCACAAAATATCATTAATAAAATAAATTAGAGTGATTAAAACATAAGTAATTAAAAATTGAGTAGTTAAATTGAAATTTTTTAAACTTTAATGATCAGAATAGGAGTGAGAAGATAGTTAAGTGATGAATGACATAATTTACCCATAAAAATGTCACATGCAAGAGTTCTATGAAATTTTTAACGACGAAATACTAAAATAAAACAAAAGTTAAATTAAGAATGATTTAAAAAAATAAAAAATTCAAATATCAAAACAAACTAAAATAATAATTTAAGTATTAAATACTAAAATAATGTTAAAGGTAACTACTATCTTACCTCCTTATCTTATACATATGAGAAAAAGGGACTGTCATTTTATGTGTCAAATGCTTATGACATGACAGCATGATCTTGTTATGTCTTCGTTCAATGTCCCACTTGTTTGCATATGAAAAGAAGAAAAATTAAAAGTCAAAACCTTGTTGAGTTGTTTTATATTTTGCAATGGATTAAAATATGACAAATGTGTATATTTATGTGCTAAAAACGCCAAAATAATTCTAAAATTAATTTAAAATTTTGACAATTTCCGTACTGTCATCCCTACAAACTGAAGATAAATTCAAAACTATTTCAAGAACCAATCAATATTACTGGAAAAGCAACAAAATTTGAAGAATCAGGTAAAAAGAAAGACAAAATCTTTGTCTTTTTTTCTCTGGTATACGAACTAAAAAATAGAGAAAATGGCAGGGAAGGGAACAAGATCAAAGCTTTTAGCTCCAACTCGTCCATCAATAACTTTACCACCAAATCCAGCCATGGATGGGTTGTTTTCAAGTGGTTTAGGGCCGAGTCCAGGGCCTATGACACTGGTTTCAGCTTTTTTTCCCGACCTTGACTCAACAGAGCGGCCTTTTTCTCAACTTTTAGCTTCAGCAATGACTTCACCTGGAGCTAGATTACCTAACAATTCAATGGATGCTTCATTTATGGATGTGGGTTTTAAAGATGGAGTTGAAAAGGGCCCTGGGTCTAAGCAAAATAGACCTTTGAATTTCGAGTCTCCTTTCTTCACTGGGTTAAGTCCCTCTGGTTTGCTTAATTCTCCAAGCTTCTTTTGTCTTTCTCCTCAGGTAAATTGAGTTCACTTTTTGATTTTCTGGCATGCTTTGTTCTTGCTTTTAGGGGGGGAAGCCTTTTTGTTAAGGTAAATGATGTGGCACAAATCAAACTATTCGGTGGTAAAGGAATTATTGATATTTCTTAATATTCCAGGTTAAAGCACCATGAATATCAGTGAAATGATAGAGAGATATCTTTGAAATAGCTTTGCTTATTCGTGTGTTTGTGCATGGATATGTGGCTTATGTATGTATTTTCTTCTTCTATGATGAACTCTCACGGTCTGCATCAAAATCGAACTTTAGGCTTAGAATGGATGAGATTTTGAACAGTTGAGAATTGTGTGATTATCTTCTTCCTTTTTTCACTTTCTTTTTCCAAAATTGTAATTTTTCGATTGCTGATTCAAATGTTGCTGGAGGGTGTTAGATTGCTACATTGAAATTTGTTGCTGATGACACGAGAGTACTAGGATTTGGTTTTCACTCCTGTGTATGCTTAAATCGAAATTATTGTCTTATTCTAATGATGATCGGTTGATCGAAATTTTGTTCCATGATATTTGCAGAGTCCTTTCGGAATATCCCACCAGCAAGCATTGGAACAGGTCACAGCTCAAGCTGCCCTAGCACAATCCCAAGTTTGTCAACAAGCTGAATATCAAAGATTGTTGGTATCAGCTCCTCCGGAGTCGTTGATCCGTCATCCATCCTTCACTCCCGAAGAAACTTCGCAGTTAATGCCTCATTCAGCCTCAGAACCTCAAAGTTCTGCAGTGGAATACTTGGAAGCTTCTCAATCTTATAGGAAAAACCAACTCCCTATCATGGTTGATAAGCCTGCCGAAGATGGCTACAACTGGCGTAAGTACGGGCAGAAGCCTATTAAAGGCTGCGAATATCCTCGAAGCTACTATAAGTGTACGCATTCAAATTGCCCTGTCAAAAAGAAGGTTGAACGTTCAGCTGATGGCCATATAACCGAAATTATATACAAAGGTGCACACAATCATGATAAGCCTCAGCCAAATAAACAAGCAAAGGGTGGTAATGATGGAAATGCAAATTTGCGGCCAAATCCTGACTTCAGTTCTCAGGGTGCAGCTTTAAATTCGAACAAGTTAAGTGAAACTATGTCGTCTCATTCAGTACTGGGGGAAAATGGTGAATCTATTCAAGCTGCGGAATTGCTTGGATCAAGTGACAGCGACGAAGGATGTGATGAAGAGAGCCGAGAAGAAAGAGATAATGATGAACCAAATCTGAAAAGACAGTAAGTTTCAACTAATTTTAACTGTTCATACAGGTTCAAATTTCTTCAATCTTCATAAGTTTTGAGAGTGTTGGATTTTTTAATGCAGCAATACCGCGGGAGAAGCCTCAGTGGTGTTGTCACACAAGACAGTCATGGAACCGAAAGTTATTGTGCAAACAAGAAGTGAAGTTGACCTTTTAGATGATGGCTATAGGTGGCGCAAATATGGACAGAAAGTGGTCAAGGGGAACCCTTATCCAAGGTGCAGTGGACTGTATGTGTATATATGTGCATGTGTTAGTCTAGTTATGTATCAGATACGAAAATGTTGGATACTAATGATCTTTAAGAAGTTGTGTCAAACTAATCCAAAGTTCAAAACGATCTGATATCGGGGAAGCAATGGTGTCAACATCATATCCATCTCGCTGTTTTGCTAGTTAAAACACTATCTAATACTGATTTGATGAACTTGCAGATTAGTAGCAAGTTAGCAATGATGTTATCATGTTGCAGATACATGTGTGATTGTTGCTTAATCCATTTATTTGTTTGTATTTATAATGCAACTTTTGGGATTAGTTCTGATGCATCTAAGCTATTCTCGCAGGAGCTATTACAAATGTACGAGTGTTGGATGCAACGTTAGGAAGCATGTGGAAAGAGCATCAACCGATCCCAAAGCTGTCATAACGACATATGAAGGTAAACATAATCATGAAGTTCCAGCAGCTAGAAACAGTAGCCACAACACAGTCAACAACAGTTTACCACAGCCGAAACTGCAAAAGATGTTTGCCGAGAATGAGAACCATTCTTTGCTTAAAGCGATGGATTTTGGGGGACCAGCCGTTTTAAGGCTAAAGGAGGAGCAGATGAGAGTGTAATCCCCTACCTGCTATAACATGCTGAAAGAACAGGAAGTCCGGCAGCTTGTCCAGGCCAGCTAACACGGTATGAAAAACAAGCATACGACAGAAAAGGCCAAATAAATGCAGTTAAAATCGAATGATGAAATCTGCTGAACCGTAATTTGATTACCCAGTTTTGCATGTTGGAATTTTTAACTAATGTTGTAGATTATATTAGAGGCTGTTCAAGGTGCCAGGGCTTGTTTGCTGCAGCCGGTGCTGATTTATGATTTGTAAGGTTTAGTTAACAACAATAAACATTTTGATCTTATGTTGCTCGGATTTGTGTTTGTTGGATTCAAGCTTGTGTCTGACATGACTTTGTTTAATTTAAAAAAAATAAAAAAATTCTTTGTTTCAAAAGCTTTTGGAGGACCTATTTGCTCATAGGTGGATGAACAAAATTATATTAGTTTTTTTTTTAATAATCTGAAGTGATTGTAATGACAGTATTTGTTCAAGATCATTCTTAGTCATTGACAATGCATGCATCATGTAAACAAAATTGCTTGAATTCAGGACCTCAAGGGAGTAAAATATTCTTTTTAATCATTAAGGTCAGTTAATGAATTCAAGATACCAGTTAGTTAAAAACTATGAAAATGCACGAATATTTTCATTTGAAAGAAAGCAATTTACAAGTGGAAACTTTGTCCCCAGTGCAGACTTCGGACAACATCACGAGCTTTGGGCATAAATAGGGGTTAGAAAAACTGGACTCGATTTCGAATTATAATTTTATAAACTAGACTCGACTTGAAAAAATTTCAAGTTCAAGTCAAGTTATAAAAAAAACAACTCGAATAACTCGAAATTTTTAGTATTTAGTGAATTGATTTTTAAGTTTGAGTCGAGTCCCTCAACTCTGTATGATATATGTATACCACGTATGAAAAACTATGAAGAAATATATATGTATTATATATGTTTATTAAAACACCCTAATCTAACCAGACTTAAAGATCGAAAGATTAGGCATTACACGAGACCACCGACGTGGCTAACCCAACATTTAAGTTTTACAAACATAACAATCTTTATTTAAAATACCAACTGTAACACCCATCTCCCGTATACCCTTACGTATACGAGTTACATATGTCACATCATTTGTAAAACAATTCCCATTTGAAAATCCATAAAAATTTGTTTTATTTTATAAAACCATTAGAATTTATTTATGATTAAAACATGCATTACTTACATATATACCTAAAAAGAGATGTTCCACATTTTACCATTTTACAGTAGTTCAATTCAAAGGTTTTACAGAGCGTTTTTAATAAACCTATTACATGGCAACTAAAATATATCAAAAGAAGACAAGTATCTCATACTGTTATTGAATTAGGTGACTCTGACTTGATGTCTGATGATCTCCTCACTCAGCTGGTATTCAACCTACGCGTGACATGAACACACATTAAGTATTACTTAGTGAGGCATACATAATCATAAGCAACTTATAACCATAATACAAGGTAACAATTCTAATATAGAGTAATTCTTTACAATTTATTGTAAACCTTATAACTCTTCACCATTGGTTCTTTTATGGTCCTTTAACCCCTTTCTATTCATGTTCATTTATTAGAGTGCACTATTAGTGCCTATACGAGAATCCATCAACCCATGATGAATTCCGTGTGCTGCACACATAGTGTCTATACGGTGATTCATCAACTTATGATGAATTCCATGGAATATGCACACAAAGTGCCTGTACGGTGATTCATCAACTCATGATGAATTCCGTGAATATGCACACAAAGTGTCTGTACGGTGATTCATCAACTCATGATGAATTCCGTAAATATGCACACAAAGTGCCTGTACGATAATTCATCAACTTATAATGAATTTCGTGAATATGCACACAAAGTGCCTGTAGTACACATAGTACTGATATATCGATGCAATATATATATATTTTAACAACATATCATCTTAACCCTTACTATATAAATAAATGCACTCACCTGACTATCCTTGCTATGTGTCCAAAAGGTAGGGCTGATTACTCTGGTACATTGTCTTTGCCCTTAGTTTTGGTTGTTTCGGGAGCTTGGTTCTGATCTACTCAAGCAATCCATAAAGACATATACCATACCCAATGTTAGAATATTTTCTAACCATTGTACTTAAACAATACTCAAAAGAACATATCATTAACTTTCTATACTAATATCAGCCTATTTTTTAACATTTTTTGTCTATATAGTATCGATACTACTACACTGGTACCGATATTTTTATACTATGGTATCGATACCAAAAATAGGTTTGATGTTGCCAGATATCGATACCCTTACCATGGTATCGATACTACCCTACTATGGTACGATACCCCCTATCAGTATCGATACCAAAATTATATTCGATGTTTCTAGGTATCGATACCCCTTATTATGGTATTGATACTACCTCATAGGTATCGATACTGATTCAATCAGTATTGGTATTACTCATCTAATTTATCTCATTTTATCCTATATTATAAGTACTGTTCTTAGCAGTACCGATAACCTTGCCCAGAATTTCCAGTTTTTAACTCGATTTTCATCCCAATGTACTCAATTCTCGTTATAATTACCCCATACAATACTATTAAACTCTTCCTTAACTATCCATACTAACATTCCTTCATTTAACCTCTTAGAACATCTAAAATCATTCAAGAACATTCAATTATAAGAATCAAACCACTTTTTCTAATATGTTCTTTATCCCATCTAATACTTCTAATCTCTCATTTTCCTCATTGACAAGTCAAATCTACCAATAAACCTCAATAAACACCAATATACTAACATATCATTTAAAAACTCATTTTCTAAAATCTCTAATATTTTCTCCATTTTTAGTTTTAATCTCATTAAATCCCTCTTTAAGCTTCTATCATACTCAAAGCTTCAATAACCAACCAAAAATGAAAGGATAAACTATCCATATGAAATCTTACCTTTGAGCTAGGGAGATGAGCTTTCTACGGGAAGAAGGAAGGAAAGAATAAAAGCTTTTGTGTAACCTAACTCCCCTTTTTCCCCTTTCTTTAATACCTTATATAAATACATTTTAACTCCTCTTTCATGCAAAAGACTAAAATACCCCTTGTAATAATCCATAGTCACAATTTAGTCTAGCTATTGATCCTACTAATTCTCATCTTTTATCAGTTAATCAAATAAATCCCCATATTTTACAATACTTTCAATAATGTCCCTAATTCAACAATTGGGACATTACAATTCTCCTCCTTAAGAAAATTCATCCTTGAAGTTTAAAGAAATACTTAAATCAAAGAGATGTAGAAACTGCTTTATCATATACTACTCTCTTTCCCAAGTAACCTCTTCAACCTTATGATTCCGCCAAAGCACTTTAACCAACGAAATTCGTTTGTTACGCAATTCCTTGGTTTCCTTAACCAAGATCCGAACTGGTTCTTCCTCATAAGTCAAATCTGGTCAGATCTCTATTTCTTCAGGAGTTATAACATACGAGGGATCTGATCTGTACCTCCTAAGCATCAATATGTGAAAAACATTATGGATCTTGTCCATATTTGGAGGCAAAGCTAACTGATAAGATATGGGTCCAACCCTTTTTAATATCTCATACGATCCAATGAACCTCGAACTTAACTTTCCTTTTTACCCAAAATGTAACATTTTTCCTAGGCGATACTCTCAAAATACTTTGTCTCCCTCCTGGTATTCTATTTCTTTTATTTTCAAATCAGCATAGGACTTCTGCCGATATGAGGCTATCTTTAGATTACTCTTAATAATCTTTACTTTATCCTCCATATCTTTCATCAAATCAAGACCAACTAATTCTCAATTTTTCAATTCAAATCAATTTAATGGTGTTATGCATTTTCTCTCATATAGAGCTTCATACGGGGTCATCTTAATACTGGATTGATAACTATTATTACACGCAAATTCTGCTAAAGGCAAACACCTTTCTCACGATCCCTTAAATTCAATCACACATGCTCTAAGTATATTCTCAAGTATCTGAATAAATCTCTCTGACTGCCCATCTGTATGGGGATAAAAGCTGTACTAAAGTTCAGTCGAGTACCCAATGCCTCATGCAAAGACTTCCAAAATCTTGAAGTAAACATAGGGTCTCGATCAGACACTATCGATATAGAAACTCCGTGCAGTCTGACTATCTCTTTTACATATAGCTCGGCATACTTATTCATTGGGTCTCCAACTAGAATGAAATGAGCCGTCTTGGTCAATCTGTCTACAATTACCCAGATTGAGTCATTTTTACATGGTGAAAACGGTAGCCCTGAAACAAAATTCATCGTGACTCGCTCCCACTTCTACTCAGGAATGGATATTGGCTGCAGTAACCCGGATGAAACTTGATGTTTAGCTTTCACTTACTGACATGTCAAATATTTGACAACAAACTCTGTGACAACTCTTTTCATGTAAGATCACTAGTAACGACTTTTCAAATCCTGGTACATCTTATTTCGACCTGGGTGCATCGTTAAAGGGCTATAATGTGCTTTACTAAGAATATATTTCCTCAATACATCATCATCAGGAATACAAAGTCTTCCTCGATAATATAAGCATCCATTATCCCTAATTTTAAAATCCTTGGCTTCTCCTTTTTCCACTTGTGCCAATCTCATTAAGCATTTCTTATCTCTATCTTGCAGCTCTTTAACCGATCCAAAAACATCGACCTTAACTTTAATTCGACAATCAAAGCACCATTTTCTTTTAAGTATATATGTGCATATAAAGCCCTTAAGGCTGCAAAAGTCTTTCGACTGAGCGCATTTGCTACCACATTAGCCTTTCTCAGATAATAATCAATGACCGATTCATAATCCTTTAGGAGCTCAATCCATCTTCTCTTCCTTAAGTTCAGTTCTTTCTGAGTCAACAAATACTTTAGACTTTTATGGTCCGTGTAAACATGGCAATGCTTACCGTACAAATAATGGCGCCAGATTTTCAAAGCAAACACTACTGCCGCTAATTCCAAATCATGAGTTGAGTAATTTCTCTCATGATTCTTCAGATGTCTGGAAGCATAGGCCATGAATTTACCCTCTTGCATCAGTACACATCCCAATCCGTTATGGAATGCATCACTGTAAATAACATATTATTTA